AGTCAGGATCGTAACATCAAAAGGATTCACCCTTTCATTACTATGTGAGAGGGCCAATGAACATATGCCCTTGCTTAGCAGCGTTCGTGCAAACATGGGATGGCCTTTTGTTAAGCAGCATCACTGTTATGCAGAATGTAATAAGTCTAACAAGCCCACAAGCCTTCCGCCTATTCCGAACCCGAATTCATTATGGAGTTGAGATTGCGCATCGGTTTTTTGCTTCTGAATGACAGAGAAGCGCTGTCATTATCTCTTCCCATGTGCCATAAATATCAACGGCGTAACATAGTTTGCGATGTCGGTTCCAAATATCTGAAACTCCATAAATGGGCGCGGGTTTGAAGTAGACGTGGAATGAGATATTGTACCAGTTCAATAGTTTCTAAAATTGAAACGTGTCATTTACGATTTACGCAGGAAGCGATAAGTAGTGGAGAGCTGAAGCTCAATGAGATCCTGCTTCGGTTTATCTTTCTATGACAAAATCGGAAAATCTGTCGACTTGGCCACAAATCAATGGAGCACCGCGAAGGGACGCTCGACTCTATCGCCCATCTTCCATGATGAACAGCTTTGTAGAAGTTAGTGGGAACGAGATGAAGTAAGGCCAACTGTGACTTCTATTTCGATAACACACAAGAAAACTGAGATTCGTTCCGTTCTTATCTACTCTAAGAGGGCTCGCCCCCTGATTGTGTTAAAGATCTGGTTCAATCTCATATAACTTGGCTGATATCAGTATGATCAACTGCCATTTTCGGAATACTAGTGAGCAGTTTTTCTTCCCTAATGCTCTCTTGGTGGCGGGAGTGATGTAGTTGCAGGTGGCGCACTATTACACATGCATGGTCACGGGTTCGAGTTCCTTATTCATATCCTGTGCCAATCAAGCCATCCAGCCAAACAGGGTCAGTAAATTCGTAAGAAATTCATCTGGAAAAGATAAAAGCACTCAACACGCCACTACGATTCTGAATGGAAGTCGAAAGAATCGAATGGGCAAATCCCTCGGACGGAATTGATTGACTCCTCGAAACTCTATCCTTTATCCTTCCTTGACTTATTTCTTGTAAAGCTCCCTGAGTTCCTACCATCCCACTTCACAAACAATCAAATCTTCCTGTACTAAATCCACAAAATGCGCTTTTGTGATTACAAGGCCCACTTCCCAGACAACAGCATCGGTTCTGCTTTAGAAGCTGCAGGGGCTTTTCAGTTAATACGGAATGCTCCCAACAAACTGAAAAATTGCTTCTTATGTCATCTAGGCTTTGATATACATACCTCTATAGCCATCCACCAAAATAGAACTGGCGACGGGATCAGTAGATATGGTAGCAAATCTCTAAATAGGATAGGTTCCCAGCTTCATTACTTTTTAGTGAAATTGGCATCGTCATGAAAAATCGTTTGAGAAGTTCCAGCATACATTAGATAGTTGCACACTATAAAACTGCTTGTTCCGTTTGAAGGGTTGCCTTGGCTGGAGCTTCGAGAATCAGCTTTATGATTGCCGTGAACTTCTCTCAAATATGGGATCTTGACTTGTATGAGTGCGATTACGGCTTTCGAAGACAGTCGTAAGATCATTTCTGGAGATGGGTATATCGACGAAACAACAAGGTTCCCAAAAGCACACAGCGAGATATTCGTTCTAAACCTCTAAAGATTCTGGAGTAGAAGACATTATCCAAAAAACACGAGAAAAAAAAGAAAGGGCATATAATCACGCAAGAGCTGAGCCCCCATAAAGGTTTCCGTCTCTACAGCGCGACAAGGATGAAGAACGACTTTCACTGTATCAGCACTTCCAACAGATACAGTGTTGTGACAGGAGTTCATCGAGCTGCCTTTAATGGTCGATACTTCTACTAGATGAGTGATGGGGCCTAATGATACTTCTGTATATCGAGTGTTTTTATGTACCACTGATGCCCCTTTAGGTTTGCAACTCAATGACGTCGCAGTATCCTACTATGTATATGTAATGCGCTGTGTGTCGATGTGCGTGTGCAGGTGTAGTAGGATTCGACGTGTGTGGCTGGGTGGTGTGGGTGTATTTGTGTGTGAGCCGGTGTGGATGTTTTGGTGTGTGTGTGTGTTCATGACCATGTGTGGTTTTGTGTGTATGTGCGTCTGTGTGCACCTGGTGCGTGTGTTGGGTGCGTGTCGTTGAAATTCATTTTCTTTTCTACTGAAGAACTCAAATTCGACAGAGGTTCGAGCGGCAAACCAAGCTCATTACGAAAATGGGGAAATCTGGAATCTGAGGGTGATCCGCTAATTTATTTATGGTCCACCTAGCATGCAATGCAATGTCACTAATACCAAATACTTGTACGTTATGAACGGATTTTGACCTCAACTGCTTCTTCAGGATTTGGTCTGAAAACCCAGAAAGCCTATAGCATCCTCCTTGCTATTATCAACCCCCTCTTCTTGCCCTTGCATTGGACACGTACTTTACTGTAAATACGTTGCCGCAATATTTCAGCATTTTATGATTATTATGATCATGATTTATTATCGGAAATCAAAGAAAATAACAGAAAGGCAAAAATGAACACAAACAAATCTCCAATAAGCAGTAATTTTCAACTAATGGAGAAAAACAGAGGGATCTGCGTGAAGAGGGGTTGGAATTTGGCTCGGAAGGGCAGTGGCCGCCAACACTGCAAGCTCGTACAGGACGACATATGTAGNACTCCGGATACCGTCTTAGTAGGTCCGCCAATCTGCCGAAACCAAAACCAGCATCGCAGAAGTCAAGGGGATAGTGTTGTGCACAAAACGTAATATCAATTATTCATAAAAAAATGTAGACATAAGTAACAGTTTTCTGAGTCAGACAAAGTTATTAACATAACAGCAAACAAGACAGTTAATGTCAATTTAATGTCAATCCTGGATTGTGTTCAATCTTCTACGCATCATACGCTCGCCCTTAGTTACAGTTAGCTGTCTTCACGTGTTTCCGAAGTTTTCTGATCTGAGTGGTCCAAAGCTCACCATATTGTCTGATGGACAACAACAATCAATGCGCAGACAAATGTTTTGTGAAGAAGAATGACACAATCATTCGTTATGCTTTGCTTATCGTGGAATCTATTTTTAGCCAGCAATGTTCATGTTGTTGTTGAAGATGTTCACCAAGTGGAAAACAGCCATCAAGTTACATACAGCTCTTCGTCATACGAATCAAATATCAAGCAACGAATCATTGAGCATGGATTGCATGATGTGCAGGAGGTATAACAATGGATTCGCAGGGAGGTAGGTTGGAGATTATTATACAAGTACTGATAGCTGTACCGTATGGCTCCAAAGTCTCCATTCTGATTCAATTTCTAGGACCACATATCCTTCAGTGTACTGGGCTCAGTCCAGGTATTTTCTTCCCAGTGGAATCTTTGGCACTATTTACCCTTTACTGGCCCACTTTGTCGAGAATGGGCTGAATTTGTATCGAATTTTTTTTCAAAAAGGTGAAATCGACTATAAACTTGTCTAGAGGGGTAATTTGTCCCCTCTAAGCAACTTCACCCCCTCACTTTGACCCCTTAGTACACGAATATCGCATCCAATCGTCATGAAAATGTGTAGAGCACTATTAGGAGTGAGTTTTCAGCAAGACTGGTGACCCAACTCCATTAGGCGCCAGCGTCCATGGCACGAGCGCTAGGCAACTTTATGACGTGTTACCCCTCTAGGCAAGTTTCTAGTCGATTTCATCTTCTTGAAAAAAAAATTCGATATAAATCCAGCCCATTCTCGACAAAGTGGGGCAGTAAAGGGTAAACAGTGCCGAGTCTTTGGATCATAACAGCATCATGATATTCCGACGTAGGTTATGAGATCATATCGGAGTTCGGGAACATTAGTTTATGAACACTGGCCATCGGATCGACATGGCGGGTAGAGGCCTAGTGGCAGAATGACTGAGAATCAGCCAACCAGACAACAGAACCGGACAATAGGTACCAAAAATCGTTCTTTCTTTTTTGAGATTTTACCGTTTAAGCCATACCACATAAGCTAACCTTGAAGTAGAACCACATTTGGCAGTATTTATTGCAGATCTCTGATTTCATATTTGCTTGCCCAGATACACCATCCCTGCTGTGGGTATTTATCCTTCGTCTTTGATCTCTGTTCATTATGAGTTTAACACTTCTGAAAATAATCCAAAGAAATTAGTGATTTTTGTCCCAACCACTCAGTGTACGCTTCGTCTGCCACGAGCATGTCCTTCACTGTTCTCTAGGGGGCTCACGAATAGTACGGCGAAGGAGAAGGATTACAAATCATTTTGGTATGTCTACTCATCCCAAACCCAAGCAATCGGCTACTTTCTTTGGTGTTCTTTTGGTAGTATCGAATTAGAAGCATTCACGCACCCAAACAAACAGACTTGTCACCTTCCATAATGTGTAATAATCCTTTTAACCATGTCGATAATCGATGTCTTAAGCGAACTCCTGGTCAAATGAAAATTGGGAAGTTCAAATATGGTTATTTGGACAGGAGAATCGATCAAAACGCCATTTTCCCATATTTCTAAAAGTGGGTTTGGGAATGGATGTACAGTAATACCGATCCATGTCATTGTTGCTATCCGATTTAAAGGGGCCATCGAAAATCTTAGAGACCCTTGTACCTGTTCATCTTACGTATCTCTCTTCATCTGAGCAGATACGGTCAAGGACTATCAATCCGAATATTCTCGGATATCCCATATTATTGTTTTCGCCAGTCGGTCAGTGGCCTCCACACCCTTGCTTGACCACTCTCCATGTTCGGAACGGTTTCAAAATAGGCATTGGAAATTTGATTCCTACGGGCATTCCTCTTCATTCATAAACTTTTGACATCTTTTCACTGATAATGAACCCATTATTAAATTTACTAAAAGACTGTCATCTCGAATTTTCTGAATTTTTCTGAGATGTTATTTTCCTCGACAAACTGTTGCCTCTTGTTAAATCAACCTACTACAGATGCCTTCCAACGACGTCATTCGTCGAGTGGGTATTGCTGTATGTTTACTTTCCGTGATTACCACCTGCACACTACTGCTCACTGTAATCAGCATCTGGCAGCGTGCCAACAACTTCAAAACGGACGTCATGACTCGCAGTCATGTATTTGGCGTGAGTGTCCAGCCTATCATTTTATATTCGATTGTATTGATCTGGGTATTTCTAGACGAAATCGCAAGTGATTTGGGCTGAAATGAACGAGATGAGTCGGACACTGAGAATTCCTCGAGACTATGGAGAATCTGCAGCAGAAGAGAGGAAGCAGGGCGTACTCCACAAATGTAGTCGTGAGTTGTACTCCTCCCGAATCGGGATTCCGTTTACACAGAGTAGAAGTGTGGGCATCAAGAGGCAGTACGATTATTTCAGAATGCTCCCGCCTCCATTGTCCTCCTGGGCAACCTGGCGAAGAAGGTCCTCCAGGGCAGGATGGCGAACCAGGAGAGCCAGGTAATCCAGGGGTGCCCGGTATTGACGGAGAAGATATCGAGCTGGATGCTCAGGTCAGTTACTCCACCATTACAGTTCCATACTCCTCGCTTGGACTTTAAAAGACTGCAACCTTCATGAGAAAAATTTTGAATGGTGGGAGAAAAGTAATTGATGTAACTGGAAACTCTCCTTCTTCGAAGAACTCAACATGAGCTTTTTTGGATAAACAAGGCCTCCGAAAGCCTCTTCACTTGTAAAAAGCTCTTCTTTAACTGAGTTCGGAACAATGACGTCTGCTCAAGGGGAAATTGTCCATTCCTCGCGCTCCACCTCATACCCTAGCCTTCTACCTCACGAACGAAAATCAGAGCAAACATGTAGTTTAAGTGTTCACTTAGGTCTTGCAGAGAGTCCTATTAAGCAAAAAAAAAAGATTTGGACTGTTCCGTTGGTGTTTTTCGATGACAAATTCAAGAGTGATTATTCAGCCCGATATACCATGCAGGATTTGTCCAGCTGGCCCGCCCGGCTCTCGCGGACCGCAGGGCGAGCGCGGTCTCAACGGTAAACAGGGAACTCCAGGGGCTCATGGTAAGTTCTTTACTATTTCACTGTTTGACTTCTGTTCGCTTGGAACTAGCTAGGATTTTCAAGGTGACGCTGGAAATCCCGGTATTCCTGGATCGATCGGAACACCAGGTTTCCCTGGACACGTCGGCGCTCCAGGGAGTACAGGACCTCGAGGTGCACCAGGCGATAATGCGATTGGTGAGTGATTTCAGAATGTAACAAAAGCACTATTTAAACGTAATGATTTACAGCCGGTGAAGGGATAAAGGGACCACGTGGAGTGCCTGGCACGCAAGGTGCGAAGGGGCCACCCGGAACTCCTGGTCGCCCGTCTAATGTGAGAGGAGCTCCTGGCATGACCGGGCCAAGAGGTGGAATAGGGAAAACTGGGAAGGCGAGTCAACTTAAATTTCACTCAAGAAGGAAGCAAGACTAACATATGAAAGACACAAACAAAAACGTGGACCGTATGAACAGGATGACCGATGAATATCCAAAAAAAACCGGAATAACTAGATAGCATGCATGTGCATATTGTGTTCAGCATTGAATCGTCCTTTACTTAGAATTAGAACTATCGAAGAGTTAAAGATAAAAACCTCTAACGAGGGGAAAAAGTGTTGCAAATTCGGTTTTGGTTTCTTTGTCGAAAGGAACTGAACGGAAGTAGTTGAAGTCAATTGACTTCAATTAAGAGATCACTCGAAGAAACGTAATGTTCACGTTCATGTTTCAGTTCGGAGCATACGGCGAACAAGGCCCAGCTGGACCATCAGGAGAGCCAGGCCTTCCATCACCGTATTGTCCATCCGATTGCGGAGTCAGTAAGATCATCTCAAGAATGCGCGGAGAGTACACGGTAAGATCCCTTTTCCCGAAAAGATTCGATTACGGTTTGAAAAGTAAGTGGCTTTGGACCGATTGAGAAGTTTCTCATGTCTTTATAGCTAGTCAAGCGCCCAATTGAATTACGTGAAGAATTGGAAAATCAAGATCCGTCCTTATGAATAGCAATTTCAGCAAGGTTCGTCCTCGTCAGAATATGGGCAACAACCGGAAATGGTAGACCACGAAACATTCGAAGAGATGTCTTACCGTAACTTCTTCAAGGAATGAAGTCACAACTTTCTGAACGGTTCCGAAATAAATGGTTGCTGTGTTGCTGCAAATTTTCTTACGATATCGCGTTATTATTAAAGTCGTAATCAGTCAAGCACTCGACATGAAGGCTCTCATGACAGATTTTTTTCAATTGTTGACCGGGTTTTGCCAATATCGACTAACTTTCTGATCAAGCCTCTTACACTTTTGCCACATCAGTTCAACGGAAGATTCACATTGACTGGATGATTTGGATGGTCCACTGACCAAATATTTACTCTAATAACCGCCAGATTCTGGATGAGTAGAGTACGAGGCGCGTTGCCAATTTGTTGCTGGCGGCGCTTTCATCTTCATTATCAATACCCCTTTCCTTGTTGGCTAGATGTTGATTTGAAACCATCCAATCTCAGCAGACTTTCTCATCCATTCAGCGTTTGGGCTCCGATTCCCAACCATCTCTGCCAACGTGGTATTGTGCGGAATGAAAGGTAAGTTTCAGTATCTGATATGGAATTTATTCTTGTTGAGGCTTCTTGAAGGGCCCGAATAGTCATAGCAAGAAGTTTATGAGGGAGTGGTGCTACGGTGCTGACTGAAATGAAGTGATGAAGAAATAACAAAAAATCCAGGAGGAACAAAAATTTCAGCCTTTATTGAGCAAATCTTCCAAACCAGGTGGGACAGCGTACCGCATCTTCTTCTCAAAAAGAATAGTTCCGTTTGATTAGTTTATCCCTACAACTCCTGCAGAAGTATTCGAAAAAGCAGTGAGTCAGTCATGCCGCGAACAACGCCAATCCGTAGGTAATGCTTCGACATCCTGTCTGTCAGATATTTTTATTGATTTGACTTTGAGACAACCAGGACACACTTCTATGAAATAGACGTGCTTCTCGAAATTTGCACCAGTCGAAAGCATAAAACGGTAGTGGCTTGACATGCTAACGCACAACTATAACTATGAGGTTGATGCATAGTTATTGCAAATTTTTTCAGCAGGTTTTATTTCAAGAAACGATGGTTTTATTTCAAGAAACGATAGAAATATTCAGCAATTACATGTTCAAACAATTACTCCTAAATATATCCACCATCTACGTCGAGCACTGCTTCTCACTC